ATTTTAGGACCACATATTTTTAGACAATGAGAATTGTGAGAATCCCTTTGATTTCTTAATTTCTTAAAAATAGCTGATTATTAATATATCTTTCATTTAGTTTTTTAAAAAAATCTAAATTAAAATGAGATGAACAAAATAATTGCCCAACTAACCTTTCAATTATAGAAGCTACATAATTATAATAGAACCAGTTCTGGGCAATAGCATCTTTTTAGTGGTTTTTTTTCTCTCTCTTTCTCTCAAAACTATACATATACATCAAGGTATTAACTAGAGAAATCAACAGTGTTTGCTTTAGCCTATGATCCCTCCTGTTAGAAAGGAACTAAATTTCTTTAAAGAGTTGACAATTACAGGGGCATTTTCTTTACAAAGGATCAAAGGATTTAATTTGTCTGCCTAGCACCTCTTGTATCTAGGAATATACCTGACAGAGTTCACCAACACCCACAGGCACTTTGGAGAGAATAGAGAGCTCCCCTAACCTAGATGTGAAAGAAGAGGTAGATACATGAAAGTGATCTTGTTAAACCAGCAAGGGGTGGAGCTTTGGCCAGATCAATTGTGCACAAGAGGTTTTCTTTAAGGTTATTATTAGCTCTTCAAAACAATGTGGAGAGCTGGGTTTTCTACCCACTGGAGGAATTTACTTTTTGATATTGTTTGTTACCATGGAAATGTATTAGAGTCTTAAAGACAGATAAACCTTATTAGTAATTTTGCACTGTTTAGCCTCTGTGAATTAAAGTGCATCTAAAAACAGGAATGATAATAGTATATACCCCATAGAGTAATTATGATAACTAATTAAAATGCAATGCCTAAAGATTTTATAGCAGAAACATTCAGATAGCATTGAGTATACAGAGTAGTATTTTCTTGGCTTACAGTGTTCTGAATGTTAACCCCTACCCTTTACATAGCTTTGAAAATTTAAAAACTTTTTTAAAAATTGTATTTTATTTATGTGTATTTGCGTGTCAATGTGAGTGTATGCCATGTGTATGTGGGTACCAATGGGGCTTAGAAAATGGCATCAAATACCCCAAATCTGAATCACAGGTGGTTGTGAGCTACCTAATTTGGGGAAATGAACTCTAGTCCTCAGGAAGAACAGCAAGTGCTCTTAACCAATGAGCCACCTCTTCTAGCCCCTCAAAACTCTCAGTTCTATACACTCATTTGACCCTCACTATAGTTCTCAAATTGGAGTCAATATTCCCATTTTTAAATCCATGAAAATGGAGGCTGAGAGCTGACAATTACAGAGAATCAAAGGGTTTCACAAAACACCAAGGACTTAATAGGTTTGCTTAGCTGCTTTTTTTTTGATCCAGGGTTCACTAACACCAACAGGTACTTCTGAAAGAACAGACTCTCCTAGTCCATACAAAAAGCAGAAGTAAAATAAATGACAATAAACTCTTGTAAAGTTGCAAACACTTGGAAGCATAGGGCAAAGGCTCAGGTCTACAGCGGGAGGGTTGTGTGAAATAGTTCCACCCACAAGGACTGCTGCCATCAGAGGAACTGATCATGTCATAGTACAGGAACCTTAGGTAATGTGATTCAGACAGCTCCTTTTAGGACCTCTACCATGTGCTCATATCTTTCTGAATATTTCTGATCGGGGCAAGGAAATGCATGAGTTGAGACTAGGTCAAGCTCTGTCCAATTAGATCTCTACTCTAATCAGATGTTTTCCCGTTTGTGCGTGAAACTAGGCTCATTCCTATGCCCTTTCTCATGCATACACTGCACATATCCCTTCAAATAAATTTTATTAGTCACAAAGACCCTGTGTTAACCCCCCCACTCAAAACTAAAGAGAGCCCCCGAGTTCCACTTACACAAAGGTACTAAAGGTGCCACTGAAAGGAGACTTGAGTCATTCTTCCTTTTTGAGCAACAGACACAGCAAAGCAAAGAAAGACCTGCATGGGCAGCTGAGAGCAACTACGATAAAGCTGGCCTAACACTGGTGTATTTGTGGTTGGTAGTACCGACAGCTGCAGTTAGAGCAGAGAAAGTTTCTCAACAGTGAGCCAGATTCAGTCCTTTCTCCTTTACATTGCTTTTGTCCAGACACCCTGTCACAGCATTGGGAGCAGAAATGAAGACAGATATCCACTGGGTACATGGTAAACTCTTTCTCTTTATTCAAGCTCAAGCAGATTTTTCATAGGCCATGGCAAAAGCAGGCATAATGCTTATATCTCTTACCCAAGGCATTTGTATAGAATCCATCTGGTTTCATTTCATGTGCAAATCAAACATGAGCATATATACTTGGCCTCAATGGCACTGAGAAGTCTAGGAAAACATTAGCCCACACTGAAAACTCTGAACTTGACCTTAACTTTCCTTGGTTTTGAAAAGTTAGTCCTACATTCCATGGACCATCAACTAGGGAGCAATGAAATACAGACTCTGAATGCTGTGAGTTTTTAAAGCAAAGAGCACTGGCACCCGGGTTAAAAGATCATCAACTAACACTAATGATAGAAAGTTTCAGAGAGCTATAGACAGTTATCTCCCCAGAACCACTTGGCTATGTCCAGCGCAGAGAAAGTGGTGAAGCCCCACCTGTCCCTCTTTTCTCCCAGACAGGCATTGTATGTTCTTCAGAACAAGATATTCCTGTCTCCGTTTACTCTTATTGCCAAGCCCATCTTGCGTCTTTTTTTATTCAGAGAGAGAGAGAGAGAGAGAGAGAGAGAGAGAGAGAGAGAGAGAGAGAGAGAAAGAGAGAAAGAGAGAGGGAGAGAAGAGGGTAGACAAACGTACCAGCTATCCTTTGCAAGTTCTGAGCTTTCCAGTATGGTGTTCCTTTCTTAGGCTCGCCGTGCAGCTATGCTTGGCTCTTACAGAATTCCCATATGGGAAGTCTTGGCATAGGAAACTGACTTGAAATACTTTGTGATAAAATAGGAGACTCGTTTCTTGGTCCACCCAGAGTTTTGTATTTCTGTTAGTGTGAGTTTGTGTATTTGTGTATACAAATGTACATGTAAATATATTCATCCTTGCATATATATATGGTGTAACAGGCTAACTTGTCAGCTTGCAAGCATAGACAAATCTCGAAATCTGTCATTCTACTTTGAAGCCAGTCGGTTTACATAGAGAAGTCCAGGCCACAGCGGCACTGCATAATGAGACTCTACCTGAAAACAACACAATCATCTGTTATTTCACACTCAATGCCACATTCTCAACTTCCCAAGATAGTCTAAGTTTACACTTGTTGTCTCGAATAATTATTAATCTTCCTTTCACCCTCAAAACATCCCTATTTAGAAAGTAAATTTTCAGTCATCTGAAGTGCAGCCCGCAGAATCTCAAGAAGTATCTTTAGAAAGGTTTAATATTACCTGAGGTTTCTGTGCAGCTTTTAATATTTGGTTATTTGCTCTTTTAATCTGCCACTTCAGGTTACTCAGCTTAGGCTGCCATGCAAACAGTAAGATTGTTTTATGGTTTTTGAGACATTTCCCTTTCTCTTTCTAGAACTCAATACCAATGTTGAAGCACACAGCACTTTCTGTTTGGTTATATAGTGTAATTAGGTAATACTTTTGTCTCCTACACGTGTCTTCAATGTTATACTTTTCATTAGTGTTCACTGGCATCCCTAGTATGGAACTAAGCAAATGAACCATCTATCTTTTGGATAAAATAAGTGATTAACCCCATTTATAATGCTAAAGGATTCAAGTTGTTTACAGGGTTAGTAGTGATGTGGTTCGACTATTCTAAAGTTGTGCAGCGACAACTCACCTTGCAGTTTAAACAGCTTTGATATAGAGCCTCTTCCACAAGTGTGAGATTGAGACACAACATTAAATCATTTATGGTAGGTTAGTGGCAAAGAGGGAAACCAACTCACAAAATATAGCTATTAAAACTCCTGCTCGGCACTCTATCTTGGTGTGACAAGATAGTTTATATTCTTTATGTGTCTGTGCACATTTAGAAGTTGCTGTAATTCACTCAACATACAACATACCTTTACAATACTATGCTACCTTCAGTCTATGAACACATTAGTAATATTTCATTTATTAAAGATCATGTTTTATTCACATATCTTGTTTACATTTAATTGAAGGCTCAAATAAAACTGAAGGAGGTAAAGCTAAGAACAGTGGAAGAAATATGACAGCTGAAGAGCATGATAAAAGGAAACAAGAGTTATCACTGTTGTTGCTGAATAGACACGAGGAGCCATCCCTGGATACTTAGGCATGGGAGTCGGAATTGTTCTCAGCACTACTGGGTAAGACACACATGCTCCTATATATAAGAAGGCATATAGCCTGTGCAAACTCCCTGAATACTTTAAATTATCTCTAGATTACTTTTAATATCCAGTTTAATGCAAATGCAGTGCAAACTATTTCTATACTGATTTGTTTGTTAAAAAAATATTATACAGTACAATTTTTAAAAAATATTTTTCATTTGAGATTGGGTGGATCTGAAGATGCAAAAGCTAAGGATATGGAAACCTGCAAGTATATAAGTAGACTGATAGAAAGATGATTGATAGATAGATAGATGGATGGATGGATAGATGGATGGATGGATGGATGGATGGATGGATGGATGGATGGATGGATAGATCTCCAGAATCAGGAAAATTATTCACATATAGAATAGGAAGACATTTAATTAAATTATAAAATTTTCACCACTGAAAGGAGATGTTAGGTAACCAGAAAGATATATTGATAGATAGATAAATAGAAAGAAGATAGATAGATTGATAGAGATAAATTGATAGAAAGAGAGAGAAATGAGAGATGGGCTACCAGAATTATAAGGTTTATTCAAATGCAGTATAGGGAAGCATTTAATTAAATTATAAAACTATTTTACTGCTGGAAGAGTACATAATCTACCTTCAACTTAAAATACACACATATATTCAAGTGAACTTCACCTTTATTCCAATTTTTTAAACAGCTTGAAGACCTTGACTCATCTCTAAGTTAAATAAGTGGTGTGATCCTTACGATTCTGAACAAAACATTTTGTGAGAGGACAGATGGCCAATATTTATAGGTTGTTTCAGAGGGCAGAGGAACAGATACCACTGGTTCAGAATTTTACAAAACAAAAAGAAGATAAAAGAAAACACATTGAGATTTCACCCTGTATCCTGAGAGATACACCAAAAAATACTCAGTGGACTAGCTCAACCTCTTGTCTCACAGAAGCCAGAGCTGTGCAGCAGCTTACAAAGAGAGCCAGAAATAGAGACTGGCTGAGCTAACGTCTGCTGGAATGCTGCATTAAGTCCCTGTGATGCTGTGCTAAGTCCACGTGATATAGTGCAGGAGAGAGGAATGAAGACCTGGGTGGGGGAGGGAGGAAGAGGAGAGGTAAGAGGAGGAAGAGCATGTGTACTCATGGCAGTTCATCCAGCATCCAGTGTTTGTCCTGACACCTGGAATAAAACACAGGCAGTTTGAAACATGAAAGCAGTCTCTTTTAAATTCTTATGCAAAAGTACCTCCTCCAGAGTATTTAACAGTGTTAATAACTAATCTATATATTGCTTTTCACTGTCAAATTTGTATAATTATATAATTTAATTTCGATATAGCATGTAACCATTGACCTATCAGTGCTGGAAATACAGCCCTTCCATCATATTATGTACATTATTGACTGTTACAGATGCCATATATTGTCTTGCCCTGTGAGCAGTATTGTATTACTATAAACATTCTTGGCTTCTGTTCTAAGAAAGGCATAAGTTACATATTAACAATTTGCTTCAGTTGTTGCTTTGAAGATATATCAGAAGGAAAGTACTCAGTCTAAAATGAATTATTCATCACAATGGAAGACCCCATGTACCTAGTAATTATGCAATTTTCTAGTCTGGCAGGTAGAAACCGGTGCTATCCATGGCCTTGTGTGATTGATGGCTAGGCTCTGTTTCCTCCCGTCTTACTGTCTGCTCCTTTCTTGGGTGGTTGCTTACCTGAGTACAGTGACCAAGACTCCCCTGAATACCTAATGGATGCCTTCTGAATATCTGCCGAGCTCCTTCTGTGCACAGGATTCTCCCATGCAGCATTCTGCCCAGAAGTCTTAGTAATTTTACTTTCTGAGCACGTGGCTCAAGCTCTGAAACTTAGGGTCAGCCCTAGGCACTGCCTTCATTCATGATTTGGGAGCTTTCTCAGGACTGACACAGTGCAGGCATGTGACCCACTGACCTGGAACCCCTCTCCAGTGTCTGTCAAAGTGCAGACATGTGGCTCACCTGGTTCATTTTCTTACTTTTCAGGAACAATGTGCCTCATCCCTAGATGTCCAATATCTTGAACATCACTGTTTCATATATGTTGTACTTTCTGTTGTTCAGGCCAGAAAGTAAATCTTACCTCTTGTAATTTCCCCTTTATTGAAAATGTCAATTTCTCTTAATGCTTTTTAATGTTGGAAGCACATTTACATTAGACCTACAGGAATAAAAAGGAAAAAAAGGCAAAGAAACAGACAAACGTCAATAAGGTGATGCTTTGGAGAGTCCTAGGGTGGTGCAAAGACTCAGGAATTAGGAAAGCAGAAGGAGAGAGCACGTTATGAACATTTCTGAGTAAACACAGACAAAGGTTGTTCCTTTGGCAGGACCAATCCCACAGCACTAGCAGCCTTGAGTGGCCACAGTACATGTTACATAAAGCTGGCCTGCCTTAAGATGCATAAGCCAACCTTTATTTAGAATTAATTTTTGATCCTTTGACCTTTTATGCGCTCTTAGCTTCAAAATGTCAAAATGCTTCAAAAGTTTCATTGAAATGATGTCATTCTTCATCATCAGGGTGTTTTATACTGTGTCTTTTCCTGGAGATTGACAACTATGTATGTTTGAACTCTTATTAACTGCCTTATATTTCTTATGAAGTATTAATTGAGGAGATTTAGCCGTGATTAAATTTACAATTATAGCACATCTCAATAAATATCATTCCCCCACACCTAAACATCAATTCAGTTTTAGAACTGACCTCAGAAAAGTACTTACATCTGTAAGAAAATATGTCCAGTTCTTTGGCTCTTTATCCCCTGCCTCCACTCTGCTCCTGCTCACTTCCAGGCTTTGTCTTGGGAGACCGGAGCAAGCAGATGAACTCCCAGAAGCAATGGCACATATCAGTTACTGTCCTACTGTCCAATCTGCCAGGCAGTGTGGTCTTACTGCACCGGGGCACTGAAGCCTCTCAAAACTTAAGACAGGGCCAGTGAGACGGCACTGTGGGTAAAGTCACTGCTACCATGCCTGAGATGGACACCAGGGACCCACATGGTGGAAGGAGAGAACTCCTGTACTACATGTTGTCCTCTGACCACAGCATAGGCACACCCACACACATGCACAGGCATGTTTACACATGCAGATAAGTAAATAATGTAATACAAATTTTAATACCATTGTAGATAAAATTTAAAAACCATTGTAGGATGCTAAGATGACTTATATAATGTGCTCTAGCTGCCTGTTGTACTGACACAAGTGGGTGGCATGTGACCAAGTTCCCAAGCCTTGAGAGTGTGAATCACTGAACTTCCATGACAGGAAATAAAGGAATTACCCTATACAACAGAATTCAGATCATTGGGGCACTGAAAAAGTTAAGCACCAGAGGTCTTTCTTAGAGCTTTGCCTCTGAAAACTACAGCTGGGTTGTAAGTGAGCAATACCTGAAACAGATGAAAAGCTCAGTAAGAACTTGTCAGGTGTGTCTGTGGCTCTGCAATACCACTTGATGTACGGACTCAACATAATCTTTGCAGCACTCACGGAAGGGTCCTACAGTCCACACTTCACAGTGAGGACACCGAGGCTCCAGCTGCGTGGCAGAGTTCTTATCTGGTTCAGGCCCAGTTAAAGGCTGTTTTCTTCTCTCACTTGCTGCTTTTAAATACACAGTAGGTATTTCGAAAATAGACACACAAAGAATTCAAATGGCATAAACTAAAGCTGCTCTCTTACCCCTCCCCAGACACAGGATTGGCTGCCACTTCACTATTTTGTGTGGACTTGGAGAGATGTTCTACCATCTACTCTAAAACACTTGGTTCTTTTCTGCTCTGTTGGGTATTTACCTCATTTATTTTAATAAGCTGTTAGGTGTACAAAATTCAGGATTGGTATGCTTTCTTAAGGAAGGATATCCTGACCACTAAGCAATGTCTCTTTATCTCTAATAACCTTTCTTATTATAAAATCCAACTGCCTGACATTGAAAAGGGCTTTGGTTTTCTTATAATACGTGTTCACATTGTATGCCCTCCTTCTTCCTTCAGTTTTTAACTTATCTGAATCTTCATATTTAAAATAGACTTCCTGTGGATGAAATATACTTGGATCTTGGTGTGTTTTTTATGCCTTCTGATAATATTTATTTTTTATTTGATGTGTTTAGACAAATCTCATTTAAAGTGAGTTTTTTTTTAATATAATAGCATCTAAATCTATTTTCTAGTTGTTAGGTTGTTGGTTTCTTTTTTTATCAACACTGTAAGTCATGTGTTAAATCCTTAATCGCTAATGTGATGCTACTTTAAGGCAATGAGTATCTAGGAAGGAATAATTGAGGTTCTATGATGTCTTGAGAATGAGGCTTTCCTGGTGAGATCAGTATCGTTACAAGAAGAGACACCAAAGAAATATCTCCTCTCCTCTTCCTCTCCTCTCTCCTTCTTCCCTCTCTTCTCTCTTCCCTTCCTCTCCTTCTCCTATCTCTCCCTCTCCCATTCCCCAGCCTCTCTTCCTGTCTCTCTCTCTCCCTGGCATAGGAGACAGCGTTGACTAAGGAAGAGAGCCCTTGATATGGCCCAGCCACACTGGCCCTTGACCTCAGACATCCAACCAAAGAACTGTAAGAAATGTACTTGAAACACCCACTGGGAGACCTGTTTCTGAAGACAAACTTTGGAGGATCAGTAGATTTGGGGGAGAGGGGAGGTGGGGGGCTGAGAGAAAAGAGGGGAAAGAGAGGAGCCTGTGGTCAAAATGTTTTGTATGAGAGAAGAATAAGGAGGAAGAAAAGGCACCCAGTCTACATGCCTTGTTAAGATGCTCTCCTGGGCCTTCCCTGAACTGGAGTAAGACAGGACTCTCCTTACCATTGCTTGATCTTCCCTGGGTATCTACGATAGAATCTGAAAGGGTTCTTGAGGACACTGCTGGAGACACAGATCTCATCAGCATCTCATTCTCACAGGCACACAGACATAGCCTGTATTAGTCATTCAAATTGCCTTTGAAGTGTTCCTTCCAGAAGTTTCTCTAAAGGTAGGCAAGCCATAGTTGGAAGTCCGGATGCACCCATTGACCCAAATTCTGGGAGAAACAGAATTTTAGGTACAAAAAAAATTAATTTTTAATTTTCTCCTTTTTTTATGTGGGAGGAAGGGACCAAAGATTTGCAGTAACTTCCAAGCTTTGTGCAGGTCAGAGCTAAAACCAAATGTTTCTCTCACTCTCGTTATTTTAAAGGGTAGTTTCTCTTCAGATAGACAGTGGATACAGCTTTTTAAAAAGATAGCTTCTTGTCTTTCTGCTGACTAGGGCAATAGTATGTGTGTGAAATTTACTTCGGGTATATGCACATTGTTTTAAAAATATAAAAAGGTGAGTTAGTAGAATTTGAGTTAATAGAATTGAATTTTCATTTGTCCCAAGAATCTTATTATCTGTATGTTTGATACTAACCCAGGCATGAAATTCTAAGAAAGCTATGCTGTATAATTTGACTTGTAATTTTGCTTTTATTGGAAGAGTTCAGAAAGTTAACCTGGGATGTACTGCAAATAGTTATAAAGTGATCCTGTTTCCTCACCCATAATTTCCCTTGAGTGTGCATCTTGTTATTGATTTGCTCCCAAAATACTTTTGTTCTCCAAACACTGTGATCCTATAATGTATTAAAAAGAAACTATTCCTAAGCACATAGAACATTATGGATGCAATCAGGCTTGATGGTGACAGATACTAGAGACTGTTGGCAGGGCCAAATGGAGGGCCAAGATGACACAACATGTTAAGATGCTGTTGTTGTCATTTTTATTTTCTTCTCTCCTTTTTCATTTTTTTTTTGTGGTAACTCGCATTTCTTAAAGTAGAGTTACTAATAACCTGAGGCAAGGATTGCTGAAATCTATAAAACTGACATTGCTCATGAGAGCTTTGAACCATTACAAAACCACATACATAAATGCAGGTTGGTTACATCTCTTAATTAAGACATACATTAGAAAAGGTATCATTCCTGACTGGAAAGCTGGTCTGTCTCTTGGAAGTGCATTTTTGAGTGAATTTTTCAAATGGACTACAGATTGTTGTTTCATTTATGTAATATTGATTAAATAATCATTCTAAAATGTAGTTACTTAAGCCATAATACTTTGTTATTTCCTAAGACCCTGTGGGTTTACTGTGTAATACTCCACTTGCCGAGTCTTATGTGGCTGCATTCATCTACTGAGGGCCTGGGAGACAGCTCAAGATGGCAGGATTGCCAGTCCGGAGCTGTCCTCCTCTGCGTCAGGCCATTTGAAGGAAGCATCACAAGAGCAGAGGCATAGAGGGATGAGCTTTGAGTAGGCATCTATTGTCATGGTTTGCTGATACACCATTGGCCAGAAATACAACCAATCTCCGAGCGAAACAAGAGAGAGAAAATCGGTAGCTAGAAAATAGGAGGTTGGGGCTGAAGAGAAGGCTCAGAGGTTAAGAACACTGACTGGGACTGGCTGCTCTTCTAGAGGTCCTGAGTTCAATTCCCAGCAACCACATGGTGGCTCACAACCATCTATAATGAGATCTGGTGCCCTCTTCTGCTGGGCAGGGATACATGCAGAAAGAACATTGTATACATAATACACAAATAAATCTATAAAAAAAAAACAATTAAAAAAGAGAAAATAGGAGGTTTTATTTTTGTTGGGAAACAATATTATAAAAATGTATCCAAATCTGGCTTTGACTGTATAGCTCTTTAGTTTTTTGAGCATAAAATTTTAGTGGGTAGCCATTCCAGCTTGGATCTGGAAGTTCCAACCTCCATTGAGACTCTGGTAACTGTCACGCCTACGAGGCAGGGCGAGGGGAGGCGCCTGGGGACCCGAGAGCTGGATGGGCCAGCGCGATCTCGGTGCGCGCTCTGTGCCGGGATGCTGATCGGTGAAGGTGGATTGTGCAGAGCTCCGGAGAACACAGCTGGACTGCGTTACACCTTTCCCAGACCCTGCGACCTACCCATTACTTAATTTGTGAGTTACACCATTAAATAAATATCCTTTTAACTACGTGGAGTGGCCAAAATAATTTCTCCAATATAAAATATATCCCCTTCTTGCCAAGAGCGCCACAACTTACCTAGTCATTGCATAAAGTAAATCTGGAACATAGCGATCTTAGGAGGTGCTTGCTGATGCAAGTGAGGCCTCCAGT